TAACAGAAGAGCTAGAAGCCCTCCTGACCTTCGGGCAACACACAGAGCGGGCATGCTTCATGGTTGCAAATCTCGGGTGACAGTCCCTCATCATAGGACACTCATGGTTGCTGCACCACAACCCAGAAGTGGACTGGGTACGACAGAAAGTCGTCATGTCCCGCTGCCCGTCCTCCTGCAGACAACCACGAATACGAGATGATCAGGACCCGATACTGGAGCCTGGGGATGGGATCTACGCTGCTATCATTCCCCCAAGCTGGGGCCATGACCTGAGAGCCACCACGACCCCTCGCAGCGGATGGCCCAGGAGGCCCGCGACCCGGAGGCTGAGCCTATGTCGTTTGAGACGCTAGTACCAGAGCACTACCAGGACTTCCGGGACGTGTTCTCCAAAGAAGCCTTTGACCAATTGCCCCCCCGGAAGCCCTGGGACCATGCTATAGACCTGGTACCGGATGCCAAACTGCCCAGGGGGAAGACCTTCCCACTCTCGCACCCGGAACAGAAAGAGTTGGACGAGTTCCTACGTGAGAACCTACAGAACAGGCGCATATGTCAGGGGCTCGTCCGGGGTCGAGGGGGTCCGGGTATAGCGTCCGGGACCGAGAGCCTGGCGGGGGGCGGATCAGGCGTGCGTACTGACAGGCCCAATGTGGGACAGTGGTCCCTGGCCACTTAGACTGAAGTGGAAAGTTGTTATTATTATTAAAGGAGAAATATTGTACTACTTACCTGAAGTGGAAAGTTGAGACGAAGGCTACTTCTTCGGTTCCCACTTCAGGTTCGTTTATATACATGCGGCTTGGATCACATGATGGATGCCACGTCACCCTCGCACACAGCCGTAACCACCCGGGTGTCTCCGTGGGAGATCCCGAGGGTATCCGGTGCAGGCGCGCGTGCTGGGCACAGCGGGAAGTCGCCCGAGGTGCCCGGGCCGGGTACATGGTGGGCACGCTGCAGGTGGGTCAGTTGTACATTGATACAGAGAAAGTCGTCCATGTAGAATAAAGAGAGAATAAAGGAGAAGTAAGATAAGGAGAAACTGAGGAGGGGAGGATGAGGGGGAAGAAGGGAAAGGGGGAGGAGGTAAGGAAGGGTGGACCAGCAGGGTACTGGGTCAGGTTGGGCCGGGTGGAGCCGGGTCAGGCGGGTGTGCCCTGACAGCATACAGCCGTCCAAATCCCCCATGGGAGCACCAGTCTTCTTCGTCAAGAAGAAGGATGGGTCCCTATGCCTGGTCCAGGACTACAGGAAGCTGAACGAGGTCACGGTGTCAGGGCATACACCCTGACCTAGCCCATACCCGCATCCACACCCGCACCCGCAACCACACCCGGCTGTTGCACTCCCCGCGCGCGCCCTGTGCCGGACGCTCAGTGCGGCCGGATGGCCCGGACCTCGGGTCTCGGGTCTCATGTGACTTCCGGATATCTCCGGAAGTTTTCGATGTATTGTGGCCACTGTGGGAAGATGAGAAGTTAACTTCCTTCTCATCTCTGACCCACAGTAGTTGTTGCCCTGGATAGGGCTGTTCATAGGTCAGGCTGTGGACCATAGGGGAGGGTCATGGGGACCCGGGAGTCGTCCCCTGACACACGGTGAAGAACTTGTACTCGCTCCCCCTCATCTCGGACGTCCTCACCCGCCTCCGCAACGCCAAATACTTCTCAGCCTTGGACCTACGCTGGGGGTTTAACAACGTCTGGATCAAGGACGGAGACGAGTGGAAGGCGGCATTCACGACCAACCGGGGGCTGTTCGAGCCCATGGTGATGTTCTTCGGCCTGTGTAACTCCCCGGCAACCTTCCAGACCATGATGAATGACATCCTGAGGGATTTCATCGACCGGGAGGTTGTCATCTGTTACATGGACGACATCCTGATCTTCACGGCCACCCTGGAGGAACATCGAAGGGTTGTCCGAGAAGTCCTAGAGACGCTGAGGAGAAGGAGGCTCTTCCTTAAGCCAGAGAAGTGTAAGTTTGAGCGAACCCGGATCGAGTACCTGGGCCTCGTTATCTTGGAGGGTAACGTCGCGATGGACCTGGTGAAGATCCAGGGTGTCCTCGACTGGCCCCCCCCAACCAAGGTGAAAGAAGTACAATCCTTCCTGGGATTCGTAAACTTCTATCGCCGGTTCATCAGAGACTTCTCTGAGAAGGCCCGCCCCCTTCACAGGCTGACCCAGAAGACCCAAACCTGGAACTGGGGCCCGGATGAAGACGATGCCTTCCGTGCCCTCAAGGAAGCCGTCACCACAGCCCCCGTCCTCTCTTTCCCTACCGACCACAGCCGCTTCAGGCTCAAGTGCGATGCATCCAACTGTCAGGGCCCGGCCTCGGACTCGGAGGCTCCCTGACCTCAGCCCCCATCTAACCTGTCCTCACACTATGTGGGGCATGAGATGTATAGTAAAAGGAAAGATAATATATACACTTGCCTATGCGGGGCATGAGATGAGAAGAAGGGTAAAGGTCTCATCTCCCCGCATGGTTGCTATATAAAGGAATGGGTCACATGCCCACAACTATACAGCTCCTAGAGTTGTGTAGTGTGACCTGGAGGGAACATCCAGGTGGCAGTGCCCAGTAAGCGTGGGAACGTTCTGGGCGAGTTGCTCGCCCAGAACTGTGGCTGTGACCCGTGGGAACATTCTGGGTGCTCAGAAAGTTCCCACGCTATCCCGTGCGCGCGCGTGTACACAACACACAAAGGCAACAACAAGGCAACAGTCAAAGAATAAAAGGGGGTAAAGTAGGTGGGGAGTCCGGGGCACCCTAAGGCAGGGTGCTGAACCCTGACACCAACTTTGCAACCGGCACGGTCCTCTCCCAACTCCAACTGGATGGAGAGTTCCACCCGGTAGCATTCATGTCCAAAAGTTTCATGGATGTAGAGCGCAACTACGAAGTGTATGATAAAGAGATGCTTGCAATCGTCCGAGCCCTCGAGGAATGGCAACACTTCGTGGAAGGTGCTGAGGAGAAAGTCGAGATCTACACTGACCACCGTAACCTGGGCTACTTCCGGACGGCCCAGAGGTTAAATCGACGTCAGGCCAGATGGTCCCTTTTCCTCTCCCGCTTCCATTTCACCCTCGTCCACCGCCCAGGGAAGCTCATGGGGAAACCAGATGCACTCTCTCGCCACGCTGACCACCCGAAGGGAAGGGACGACAATGAGGGGCTGACCCTCCTCCAACCAGCCTGGTTCGAGGCCCGTGCGATGGAAGCAGTCTCAGTGGAAGGTGAGGAGGCGGATATCCTAGAGAGGGTACAAGGAGCGAAAGATCATGACGAGCGGGTGGTGAAGGCCATGAGGGAACTGGGAGAAGGAACGTTAAGGTCGGACAAGTGGGAGAGACAGGGAGAGTTGGTCCTCTACCGAGGCAGGGTGTACGTTCCAAAAGACCCACAACTCCGCCACGATCTGGTATGGCTACACCACGACGTGCGGGCGATGGGACATCCAGGGTGATGGAAAACCCTGGAGCTCGTCTCCCGTGACTACTGGTGGCCTCGGATGGCAGAATATGTCGGGCAATACGTACGTGGATGCGACACCTGTAACCGCGTCAAATCCTTCCCTGCACGGAAGGTTGGGAAGCTCACCCCAAATAAAGTCCCCACCCACCGTTGGCAGGTAATCTCGGTAGACATGGTGGGAGAGCTCCCAGAGTCGAAAGGTTATAACGCCATCCTAGTTGTAGTGGACTGTCTGTCCAAACGCATCCACGTGATCCCCACCGTGACATCCGTGGACTCGGCTGGTATCGCCCGGCTCTTCCTAGAGCACGTCTGGAAGCACCACGGGCTCCCGGAAGAGATCCTTAGCGACAGAGGGAGCGCCTTCGTCTCGCGCTTCTCGAAAGAACTTGCAGATCTCCTGGGGGTCAAGCTAACCCCCTCAACGCCCTACCACCCCCAGACTGACGGACAGACAGAGCGGGTTAACCAGGAAATCAAAGCCTATCTTCGGGTGTTCGTCAATCACCGCCAGGACGACTGGGCGGACTGGCTCCCACTGCCAGAATTCGCCTACAACAACCACGTCCACTTGTCCACCCGTCGAACCCCCTTCAAGCTTGACACCAGGCAGCATCCCAGGATGGGGACGGAGCCCACACGTACGTCCGAGGTAGAAGCCGCTGACGCCTTCTCGTCCAGGATGATGAAGATGCAGGAAGAGGCGAAGGCGGCCCTGGAGCACGCAGCGGACGAGATGGCCCGCTACTACGACCGGGGTCAAGAGACAGCCCCCAAGTACCAGGAGGGTGACCGAGTCTGGCTCAGTGCCCAAAACTATACGACTGACCGCCTGACCAAGAAGCTAGACCATAAGTGGCTAGGCCCCTTCAAAGTTGTCAAGGTCGTCTCCCCGGCTGCTGTCAAGCTCCAGCTCACCGCACGGCAAAAGGGAATTCACCCAGTCGTATCTGTGACGAACGTAAGACCCTACCGCCCGGACGAGATCGCAGAACGACCCCCTGACCCCCGCCCGGGCCCAGAACTCGTAGATGGCTTCCTCCCTCTCCTCCCCCTTCTTTTCCCCCTTCCTTCCCCTTTCTTTATTTCATTCTTCTCATCTTCCTCTTCCTGTTTATTTCTTTCTATCTACACGGACCACCTTCCTTTGTATCGATGTACTATTGACCCATCCGGCCCACACACCCTGGATGGCTTCCCGCTGTGCCCAGCATGCGCACATGCAGCGGACGCTCTCGGGATCCCCCACGGGGACACCCAGATGCCTGCGGCTGCCTCCGAGGATGATGTGGCACTCGTCATGTGACTCAAGCCGCATGTACATAAATGTACCTGAAGTGGGAACCGAAGAAGTAACCTTCTTCTCACATTCTCCACTTCAGGTAAGTAGTATAGTTTTCCCCTTTAATAATAATAACACATTCTCCACTTCAGTCTGAGTGGCCAGGGACCACTGTCCCGGATCGGGCCTGCCAGTACGCACGCCCGCCCCACACCCCGCGACGGCCTCAGTGCCGGGCATTACCCCTGGGCCCTCTCGACCCCGGACGCGTCCCTGACAGACGACAGACAGCAGACATAATGCCCGTTTCATCAAAGTACTTCTTGGATGCCTTCTGGCGCTCCCCGTCGGCAGCCGTGAACGAGCCATCACAGCCATCATACGTGCTCTCTGTCAGGTTGAGCCCTGGGGTGACATGGTTTTGCTTGGAAAGATCGTCCTTGCCGCTACCCATGTTTCCTTTGCCTTTCGAAGCCCGAAAATTCCATTTGGGTTCACATATTTCAGCAACCTTGCTCTGCCACATCTCAGCATAACCGTGGGGAACCTCAATTGTTTGAGGTGACGTCATTTTGGGATCCTGAGAACCAATCTTGTTCAATCCGCGGTACTGGGGCCTCCTATCATAGTCTTTGATCCTCTTCAGCTGAAAATTTGCATCGAACGAAACGATGCAATCTGCTGACAACTTGGATGTGGGACTAGATGTAGAGCCGAAACAACATGGACACCTTCCCTGGAGGTAGTCACTGGGGAGGTCAGGATGTGAAAACATAGGGGATGTATGAGCATTTCGATATTCTCGCACATCGATCGAAGTGTTCTCATCCAAATTTACATGAACGGTCGGAGCTTGAAGAACGCTGGGTATGCTGGACGTTAAATCTGATGGGATCTTGGGATCTGGATGGGAAGGATCGACATCCATGTCTGATTCCGGAAGGCAATTTGAGACTGAAGGTGGCGAGGATGGTTCGCGGAGGTGGCCAGGCAGAAGACGATGTGGAATGGGGATGGCGCTTGCCATGCGGTCCATCTCTGCATCGACGAGTCTGATGAGCAATTGATAGTGCACAAGGGAGTTGCTAAAGCGACGACGAAATGAACTTGCAGTCTCGAAATGATGCCCTTCACGCTGAAGCATAATTTCGGCAGTTGTTGTCCACGCCCGTATGTTCGGTGCCATGTGTAAGAACAGCGTAGAGGCCCAGTCAAGCATTACCATGCTCACAGCAAGTTCAGGTCGGACTGGGGCACAGGGAAACAAGCCGCATTCGACAAGCTGCACAGTGAGTGTTTGCTCTTCACAATGCCTTATCTGCCGCTTCTCAAGCCATGACATGTAGATGCAGAGCACGTCATCCACTCGGTGAGGGCTGGCACAATCACAGTGCTGACAGGGTTCGCTTCGTTCTGATGAAGCAGAACGTTCCCGCATCCACTTCATATACAGTCGTATCAGACGTGGCAGGACATCTACGTGCCACCACGTCCTCTGATGGTTGCGTCGCATGGCATGCTTAGACATGATATCAAGGGGTAACGGTGGGGGGCTGGCTCACATGTCTTTTCCTTGCCGGAAATGACGTGAAGAGACTCAGATATATATTCGTCCATAGGATGAGGTGAGGTGTGGGGAGGGGAACTAGGATTTGCGGCTGAAGGACCCTGAGATGAAGCGGGGGCATCGTGTAATGGGGCCAATTTGAACTTTTGCCTCTGGAATTCCTCGTATGCTTGGATGCAGGGGATACTGCTGACTGGGGTCGTCCTTACGATACCCAATTTCTGTTCATGCTTGAGAGCATCCCGAACTCGACGCTTCGCTGACTTTTTGTAATTGGAGTACATCTGAACAATTGCTGTCGGCCAACAATGTAAAGCACCAGTGAAAATACACTCATGTTAAAGCGTAAAGAAGATCAATACACAGGTGTAGCAATATTGAAGTTACTAAGCAAGCGAGTGTACAACGCTAAGCAATGGACACACGATTGCAAAGTGAGAGGCCAAAGGAACTAAGCAATCAGGCCTTGATGTCGGACAACAAGGCGCTTGGTCACTGTCAGGGCACACCCCACCTGACCCCCCGCGCCGCGCCGCGCCGCCCTACTCCGCTCCCCCGCTATTCACTCCCTGTTTCTTCTTTCCCCTTTTCTTCTTTCCTTCTTTCCTTCTTTCTATTTCCATTCCACGGTTGACTTCCCCTTCTCTATGTATTGCTACACACCTAACCCTGCTCCCCCGTTCACCATGCCTGCCGCACGCATTCCCACTCACAGAGTGGCACACCTCCGGGATCTCCCACGGAGATACCCAGGGGAGTGCGGCTGTGTGCAGGGATGACGTGGCTCCTCCCACATGACCCCAACCGCATGTATATAATAGCACCTGGGGTGGGAACAGAAGAAGCAGCCTTCTTCTCAACTTCCCACTTTGTCAGGGCACACCCGCCTGACCCGGGCCCACCCGGGCCCACCCGGCCACACCACACCCGCTCCCCGCTGTCTATCCCCCTCCCCCCTCCTTCCTCCCTCTCCTCCCCCCTCTTTTCCCTTTTCTTTCCCCTTTCTTTATTTCATTCTTCTCATGTTCCTCTTCCTGTTTATTTCTTTCTATCTACACGGACCACCTTCCCTTGTATCGATGTACTATTGACCCGTCCGGCCCACACACCCCAGACGGCCTCCCGCTGTGCCCAGCATGCACGCATGTAGCGGACGCTCTCGGGATCCCCCACGGGGACACCCGGATGCCTGCGGCTGCCTCCGAGGATGACGTGGCACCTGTCATGTGACTCAAGCCGCATGTACATAAATGTACCTGAAGTGGGAACCGAAGAAGTAACCTTCTTCTCACATTCTCCACTTCAGGTAAGTAGTATAGTTTTCCTCTTTAATAATAATAACACATTCTCCACTTCAGTCTGAGTGGCCAGGGACCACTGTCCCGGATCGGGCCCGCCAGTACGCACGCCCGCTCCACACCCCGCGACGGCCTCAGTGCCGGGCATTACCCCCGGGCCCTCTCGACCCCGGACGCGTCCCTGACAGCAGAAGAAGGTTTTAACCTTATTTCCCCCGCCTCACCCATCTCCCCAGCCATGGTGTCAGAAGAACAGTATGACGACCTGCTGGCCCGCTTCCAGGAGCTCCAAGCCATTGTGGAGAGCCAAACCCGCAACCACCCCCCACCTGCACCCGCACCCGCCCCTGCACCCGCGCCCGTACCCACACTCGCGCCCAGACCCCAACCACCGAAGGTCACTGCCCCCACTCCCTTCTCAGGAGCCAGTGAAGACCTCGATCGCTTCAAAGCCGAGTGCGGGATCTACTTCCATGTCCACGCAGCCGAGTTCCCCACCGAACTATCCCAGATCCTCTTCGTCCTTTCCTACATGAAGGGAGGACCCGCAGGGGCGTGGGCGACACAACGGACGATCACCCTGTTGACAGCCACCTCCCCCACCATAACCATGGACGAGTTCAACACGGAACTCGATGCCATGTTTCAAGACCCGAACCAGGAGGCCACAGCTCGGCAGAAGTTGGCAGTCATCCGCCAAGGGACTGACTCCGTGGATAAGGTCATCCAGGAGTTCGAGATATTGGGACCCGCCTCGAGGCTAGGCGATGTCGGGCTGGTCGACCGGTTTGAGCAAGCGATTAACTCGCGGCTCAGGGAGAGTATATACCGCCTCCGCCCCATGCCCACCACTTGGACTGAGTGGAAGCGCGAAGCCACGCTTCTGGACAACCAGTGGCGACGTTTCCAAGCCACCCAACCACGCGCACCCCCACCTAGACCCCCATTCCCGCCAGCCCGACCTCCGCTGACCGTGACCCCATCCCAGACCCGACCCGCGCAGAACCCCCCACGACCTGCTCCTGCACCTCCGCCCCCCACCCCAGCAGCCCGTCCTACACCAGGGACGGGCCCCCAGCCGATGGATCTCGACAGGTCGAGGACTGACCAGAGACGGTGCTACAACTGTAACACCCCGGGTCATCTCGCGCGAGAATGCCCACACCCCAGGGTCAGCCGAGTACGACGTCTCCACCCGGAAGACCTGAGGATGTTGATGGAAGGGCTGAAGAGGCAGTTGACCGAAGGGACAGAGACGGTGGAGGGGGAACCAGAGGAAGAACCTCAGAGGGATTTTCAGGCAGGCGACTGGTAAGGGATGCGTCCCGGCCGCCCGTAGAAGATAGCTCGTGTAAATACCGCAGCGCGCGTAAGCCAACGCCAATGCCAAAGTTTCACCGAGTCATCGCGAAGAAAAAGAGGAGAAACGCATCCTCCACCCGTGAGAACGAGAAGACCCCAAGGGCAGCAACGCCCGAGGTAGCAGTCTCCCCCCCCGCCATTTACGTCCTTTCCAAGCAGTCCCCCAGATCTCTTAACCTCACAGTGAAACTGACCGCCCTAACCTCCCTCGCGTCGGTATCTGTGTCAGCCCTCCTGGACTCAGGAGCCACCGGGAACTTCGTAAGCCCCGAGTTCGTCCGAAAGCACAACCTAGAGACAACCCCCCTTCCCCAACCCATTCCCGTCCGTAATGTCGATGGAACCCCGAACGAAAATGGAGCTATAACAGAAGAGCTAGAAGCCCTCCTGACCTTCGGGCGACACACAGAGCAGGCACGCTTCGCGGTTGCAAATCTCGGGCGCCAGTCCCTCATCATAGGACACTCGTGGTTGCTGCACCACAACCCAGAAGTGGACTGGGTACGACAGAGAGTCGTCATGTCCCGCTGCCCGTCCTCCTGCAGACAACCACGAATACAAAATGATCAGGACCCGGTACTGGAGCCTGGGGATGGGATCTACGCTGCCATCATTCCCCCAAGCTGGGGCCATGACCTGAGAGCCACCACGACCCCCTCGCAGCGGATGGCCCAAGAGGCCCGCGACCCGGAGGCTGAGCCCGCGTCGTTTGAGACGCTAGTACCAGAGCACTACCAGGACTTCCGGGATGTGTTCTCCAAAGAAGCCTTTGACCAATTGCCCCCCCGGAAGCCCTGGGACCACGCTATAGACCTGGTACCGGACGCCAAACTGCCCAGGGGGAAGACCTTCCCACTCTCGCGTCCGGAACAGAAAGAACTAGACGAGTTCCTACGCGAGAACCTACAGAACGGGCGCATACGGCCGTCCAAATCCCCCATGGGAGCACCAGTCTTCTTCGTCAAGAAGAAGGATGGGTCCCTACGCCTGGTCCAGGACTACAGGAAGCTGAATGAGATTACGGTGAAGAACTCGTACCCGCTCCCCCTCATCTCAGACGTCCTCGCCCGCCTCCGCAACGCCAAATACTTCTCAGCCTTGGACCTACGCTGGGGGTTTAACAACGTCCGGATCAAGGATGGAGACGAGTGGAAGGCGGCATTCGCGACCAACCGGGGGTTGTTCGAGCCCATGGTGATGTTTTTCGGCCTGTGTAACTCCCCGGCAACCTTCCAGACCATGATGAACGACATCCTGAGGGATTTCATCGACCGGGAGGTTGTCATCTGTTACATGGACGACATCCTGATCTTCACGGCCACCCTGGAGGAACACCGAAGGGTCGTCCGAGAAGTCCTAGAGACGCTGAGGAGAAGGAGGCTCTTCCTCAAGCCAGAGAAGTGTAAGTTTGAGCGAACCCGGATCGAGTACCTGGGCCTCGTTATCTCGGAGGGTAACGTCGCGATGGACCCGGTGAAGATCCAGGGTGTCCTCGACTGGCCCCCCCCAACCAAGGTGAAAGAAGTACAATCCTTCCTAGGATTCGTAAACTTCTATCACCGGTTCATCAGAGACTTCTCTGAGAAGGCCCGCCCCCTTCACAGGCTGACCCGGAAGACCCAAACCTGGAACTGGGGCCCGGATGAAGACGATGCCTTCCGTGCCCTCAAGGAAGCCGTCACCACAGCCCCTGTCCTCTCTTTCCCTACTGACCATGGCCGCTTCAGGCTCGAGTGCGACGCATCCAACTTTGCAACCGGTGCGGTCCTCTCCCAGCTCCAACCGGATGGAGAGTTCCACCCGGTAGCGTTCATGTCCAAAAGTTTCACGGATGTAGAGCGCAACTACGAAGTGTATGATAAAGAGATGCTTGCAATCGTCCGAGCCCTCGAGGAATGGCGACACTTCGTGGAGGGTGCTGAGGAGAAAGTCGAGATCTACACCGACCACCGTAACCTGGGCTACTTCCGGACGGCCCAGAGGTTAAATCGACGCCAGGCCAGATGGTCCCTTTTCCTCTCCCGCTTCCATTTCACCCTCGTCCACCGCCCAGGGAAGCTCATGGGGAAACCAGACGCACTCTCCCGCCGCGCTGACCACCCGAAGGGAAGGGACGACAATGAGGGGCTGACCCTCCTCCAACCGGCCTGGTTCGAGGCCCGTGCGACGGAAGCAGTCTCAATGGAGGGTGAGGAGGCGGACATCCTAGAGAGGGTACGAGGAGCGAGAGATCATGACGAACAGGTGGTAAAAGCCATGAGGGAACTGGGAGAAGGAACGTTGAGG